TGCAAGCTTGCTGAGGAAACAGGCACAGAGACAAAACCCTATCTTAAGGGAAGTGTGAAGAAAAGCTTGCTCTCCCTGGGAGGAGGCCTGTTGGGGAGAAGCAGCTTGTCAGTCAGGAAGGGTGGTCAGTGTGAGGTTCACCCATTCCAGAGATGCTCCTCAGGTGGGTTACCAGATTAGCAAATGCAAATATAGGACATTCAACTAACTATGACTTTTGATGATCACCAAATAAATTTTCAGCCTAAGTAAAATCCCAAATTTTGAATTGCCATTGCCTGAAATTCCAATTTGGCTGGACATTCTGTGTTTTACCTGGTATTTCCTGCATCCTGAGACTGATATGTGATATGTGTGGACCAGTGAAGTTTGAGTACAGAGAACAAAACTAAAGAAAGACCAAGGAGGACGGGGCTGGGGATTTAGCTCAGCGACATAAGCGCCTGCCTTGCCAGCAGGCAGTCCTGAGTTCGATCCCTGGTACCGATAAAAACGAAAAAAGACCAAAAAAAAAAAAAAAAAAAAAAAAGACCAAGGAGGACTTTAAATACCAAGTGAAAGAGTTTGAACTTGAGTCAGTATCAGATCGGCGTTAGAGACAGCAGTGCTCAGCTGAGAAACGTCATGGTCAGGTTCATTTTGGTAAGATCCAGATAGCTGTGTGGGAAATGAAGGGATGGCATAGGGCTCAGCGAGGGGACAATTGGAACAGGACAGGACAGAGAAGAAGTGGATTGAATCCAAAGCAATCTTGGTAGGGCAGAAAGGTACGTAGAATCTTTCCTGAGGACATAAATTGGCGATGAAACCTCTTAGTAAAACATTCATTTTAAACAAACTTAAATTTTAAACAGGTTTTAAATTAAAATTTTACATTTTAATTAAAATACTCTCAACCTTTGAAAACATTCTGCAATTCTATCCACGTTGCTCCTGACATAGTTGACTTGTCATACCTGGACAACGGTAATTTTAAAAACGGTTGGATGTATTAATGCAGAATCAAGACTAGTAATTATTAATAAGCCATCTCACCTTTTATTATTCTAAGGAATGTACAGTTTTCTTGACATAGTGCAGCTGTGCAAGAGCACGTGTCATCCTGAAGTGACTTTCCATCCTGGTCTTCACTGAACAACGTCAGTCACTTCACCTATTTTACTGGTAATTAATAAATGAATAAATAAAACTGGCATTTGTACCTACGAGCACCAAAACCTCTTTATTTTAATGATCAATTTTCCAAATATATTACCCCAATTTGGAATTGAAAAAGTAGGAGCAGAAGATGTCAAAAGATTTGCTTGGCTTCTCTGGACCATCCAAATGCATGAATGCGTCTCCAGCCTCCCTGAGTTATTCCCTAGCAGTCAATCCAGCATTCTCAGGCTTCTGGCCCCGGAAGATGTACTCTGAGTTTCTGCCTCAAGTAGCTCTCTGGAGAACACAAATTTGAAGTGTCAGTGTAGTTCATTAAATACCCTTCAGGAGAAGCACCAGATTTTCAGTAACCTCGACTTGAATCCTCAACTTATTGTCCATAGGTAAATGGTGACGCCCATTTTCAGTGATTTAGACTGAAATGTCAGTCGCCCTTTATTTTTTTTCCAGGCCAACTGGGTGTCCCATTTTAGGGCAAAAAGAGCACTGTCATCAGCCAAGTGTCTCCACTTTGATTAGACATACATTATGGACACTTACATTTGCACTTCTCAGTTTTCTTTTTCACTTACAAAAGTTTAACCCAAGAGTCCTTACTAGGTTTAGCAGCCCTTCGATACCTGTAAAGTGAGGGTCCATAGCTTATTCTGCCTTCCGAGAGGTGCACTTCTGTTTTTGTTCCTCAACCAGAGTTTCTCTACCATCAAGAGTTGTAATACTTATTCCTGCTTCAGAAAGGAAGGAATGAGTGATCTTAACACATAAAATTGGAACTACTCACGGGAAAAGCAATGGTTTCCTTTTTACATGTTGGATCATGGGCTTACAAAATATTTTGATGTTTAATCAAGCCTGAAATGGGCTTTATATGATTTATCTTTCCTTCCTGACACCTCATTATCATTAGAGTTGCTTTCTTTGGAGGCTGTTTTCCATGGGTGTGAGGGTGTAAAGGGAAAAGCCGAGGGTAAGAGCTTGGAGTATCCAGTGACAATGGGGAACGTGGCTTAGTGGGTTAGTACCGGCAAAAAAACAAAACAAAACAAAACAAAACAAAAAACTGACCACAAGAACTCTCGTCTCCAAATCTGGTTTTAGGGAAAAGATGAAAGCTAAAGTTTGATAGCATTGATAGAGACGATGCTTAACAAATTATTAGGATGCTAAAAAAAAAATACTGTAAAAAGACCAGTAAGGGGAGATAACAAAAGCACTGGATTAAGAATTGATATATATTCTTGCTCACTGTGTTACTGTTAAAAAATTCTTCTCTACTTGGTTTTTAAGGAACTTTTATAAATAAAATAGAGAGTTTGAAATGATTGCTGTCCATATTTCTTCCTGTTTGAGAACTCTAGCTATTTATAGTTGATTTAAACTTGGAAGTAAGCACAGTTTTTAAAAAAGGTGTTACTTTAGTTTCCATTTAAGAAAAATGGGGGTATCTGTTACTAAAATTACCAGGTTCTTTACTTGCACACATATTGAGCATCTATATGTGCTCTGTATGTGTAAAGTCCTCAGGCACCAGGACCAAGAAACGAAGGAAACAGAGTCGGTTTTCCAGGGACTTTGAAGCCTCAGGAGGAGCACAATTACAAGTGTTCTAATAAGAGCACAATGATTTGGAATCTAGATGTAAATGTAGTTTCCAATCCAATAATGTTTGAGACTGAATCCCCTTTTCAGCTGTGAAAAGCCAACATGGCTTCCAAGTCTTACATCACAGTATCAACAGTGTAGTGGATTTCAGAAAATGCAGACCTCCTGCTGATACCCTGCGAGAAGACATGTGTGCACAGACACATGCATTTAGACATCTACTTAGCAAGCATTCTGCCAGTCTGTTGGGAGCAGCACTACAGCTGAGCACACACAGCCCCAGACAGCAGCTGTACTGGAAGCAAATGGTGCCTTTCCAAAAATGACCTGAGAATTCGAAGTATCTAAACAGTTCGACAGGCACAACCAATAATTTACAAAAGCAAACCCACAACCTACAGACACAGCCACTGAGTTCAATAAGAAAACATTCTGAATTAAATCGTGTCCTTCCGGGACCAAATTAGAAATCTTTGCATAGAGCAGGCCACACCATGGCAATAAACAAAATGAAAAAATGTGAGTTGTGACCAGATCATACTGGACTAATTGGAGAGGTCACACAAATTTAAAGCATTTCACAATTTTGGAAATCTTTGCATATTTGTTTGTTGATATATGGAGTTAAATGCGGGAGATACTTTTTTAAAAACAAGATGCACATGTCAGCAAAGTGGTGAAATAACCTGTTAGATCATCACCATGTCGATCTTGTAATTATTGAGAGTAAAGTGAAATGTAGGTCCCCATGCTAACCAGTAATGGTGAAAAGCTAGTTTTATTCCCTTTTAATCAAAGATTTTGGTAATGGATAAACAACAGGGCTGATTTTAAACTTATTCAATCACTTAGTGACCACTTGGTATGATAGCGATTGCAGTTCTGCAAACCAGCCAGTCAGGGGAAGCCAAACATTTCCAAATCAGCACAAGATGAAGACAGAATTCACCTCACCCTGTCACCCATACCCAACCCTGCTCCTGAGACTGTGGAAATTTTCTCCTGCCTCTGTCACCCCCATAACCCACAACAAGGCCTGCTTTGAGCCCTTTGTGTGAACGTCCTTTGTTCAGTGAATCTGTGCTGACTAGCAGAGCTCTCTATTCCTTAAGCGAGCGTTGAATTTGCCTTTGGGTTTTGGAGATGGAGCATATTGAAGCCTTTACTTTTCTGCCATGTGTACATATTTGAAATTAGAAGATGAAGCATTAATTTTATTGATTATTTTAGCAGACTTGCTTCTGTACATAAAGATTCATGATGTTATAATATTTTATGGAGGACTTTTTTCTTTTTTGAGACAAGCTCTCATGGTGTAGTCCAGGCTGACCTTGAACTCACTCATAATCGTTCTGCCTCAGTCTCCCAAGTGCTGGGATTCTTAATGTGAGCCACACAGCACCCAGAAAACATTTCATTAAGTGTAGATTCGTTAAAAGTTCTCCCATTAGTGTTTTCTAAGCTTCATCTTTGCACGCAAAGCCCTATATGTTTATTCTCTTCTCTTTGTGCCACAGACATCACCCTTGTTCTGTAAATGGTAAACCTCAGCCTTAACACTGTGCTCCCTCCTCTCTTCGCTCTCCATGCCTCGCAGTACTGTCACTGGGCCACTCTTCAGGTCTCTGCCCCACTTCCCTTTTGTTCTGTCGCTCATGGTAGATTTCAGCCCCTTTTGGTCATGATGACTAATAGTGTTGCATTGTTACCAGAAGCCTCTCACATGCTTCTGATGTACCCACCATGACCCCACTGGAGTGACAAAGCTCAGAGCTAAGTGTCTGGCTGTTCGCAGGCCCCGGGCCTCCTAAAGAGGACCTGTGGCGCCTCCTTGGTGTGGCACGGTAGTGTCGTCACTTGTGGACTGACCCTCCTCTCTACACATTTTGCCATCACTTCCCCTCTCCTCTCATGCCACTTAAACCTCCTCCGCTCTTACCTTGTACTTGCATTGCTCATCTACTAAAACTCCTTCTTGAGTTCTGAATGTGAATATATCCCTACCTCTGATGGTCAAACTCCCTTCATCCCAAAGTCATCTGTCTTACGGCACTGGCTACTCTCCAAGATTTAGACTCCGTTCTGTTCAGCAGACCCTAGAATTCAATTCATTTATAATCATGATTAAGTATTTTCTTTTCCCCCTATTGGAAGCAATAGAACGGCACAAAGTGTTATTCTTTTCTGAGTTGGATTGGCCAGAACAAAAGGCTAATGTAGAATAAACACCCAGGAAATGTTAGTTTAAAAGCATTTTATTTGTATACAGACCACTGTCTGCAAGTGGACTTTAACAAATAATAATCCACGCACAATCTCCCCACTGAAAACTGTTGATCTTGCCCATCCACTTGACCCTGCCTCACAGTCCTGGTGAGGTGCACCCTCTCTGTGACCACATGTTAGTCTCTGGTTTCGTTTTCCTCTCTGCTGGGCTCTCACTGAGCTATTCTTAAGAGAGAACGCCAAGGCATTCCACAGTGAGTGTTTGCATGTGTTTCTGGAGGAATGTGTCTTGGACTTTCCTGTCTTCACTGACGTTTTAAAGGAATGACTTCTTCGAGGGCAGCAGTGTTGCACGATTGCATTATGTTTGCCTTGGCAGCTGTTAGCAATGCTTTGGCAGATGGACCTTGCGCCTTCTGCATTGGGAAGTGGGACTTTAAAGAAACAGTTATTGACTGCTTATGTACACTAGGCACCATGTTAAAGCTACAGATTCAAAGACAATTAATTAAAACATAAATGGACCTTCAAAGCAGTTTCACCCCAGCAATGAATGAACCAGGTATACACACAAGTAATAAAAGCATGGAGGAGATGGCATGCATAGCATGAAAAATGCACTCCTGAAAAGCAGAGGGAGAAGGGCTTCCTGCCATGGGACTTCTGAGGTGAATATGTGCGTGCATCTGTTTACTTACCTGCTTCCCAGAAACCCTGTCCCATTGCTTCCCTCCAGGCACACTGTGTAGTTTCCTCCTCTGTTTCTGTGCATAAATAGTGCAAATAAACCATAGCTCATGAGCATCTTCAGAACTGGATCACCTGAGTAGTGGAAGAAATGTACTTTTAGGGGAATGCACGTCTTTCGATCAATTGCTGACTGACTCTGTCCTTAAGCTCACCGTTCAGAAGATGGACACAAGAAACCAAAAAAGTACCTTTGTGCTTTAAGTTTGGGAAAAAAAAAAAAAACCCAAGGTGAAATAAAATGCAAAGAAACTCAGAAGAAAGTAACCACGTCACCTTAGAGTTCACAATAAATGTGGGTTAAAATACAGGGGAAGCACAATATGTAGATTTTTAAATCAGAGGAACATCAATAGGATTCATGACGGAATACTTTAAAAGTTAAGACAACTTTAAAGGAATGGGATTATAAAAATAAGCTAAGTATATAATTTTGGAATACCTTAATTTAAAACACTTTTAAAAACTAGTGCATTACAAAAGGGTTTGCTATATAATTTTTGGAGGATTTGGCCAGTGAAAGGAAAAATCTATTCATAAAAATCGATTTTTACTAAGCCATGGGAGAGGAGATGTCTTTCAAAAAGACTGATGTGTGCCCTGCATTATTCCTCTCTTTATCTCCAGCATCTACTGTAGTGCTAGAGGGCACCAAACTCCTTGCATTGATTCTGTAATTTAGAGATGGTCTATCACGGCTCCTATAAGAAGTTACTCCTGTGATGATGTCAATATCCAATGAAACACAGAGAGTGACAGGGGCATTGAAAGGTCATACGCATTGCAACAGAAACGCCTAGCTGCCTACCCTGTGAGTCTCCTTTTCCTCACTAGGAACAGAACTAGAGTGCATTTGCCAGGCTAAGGACTGTATCCCAAGAAATCTATACATTTTCAGTCTTCCTTACAACTCGCTATGAGCCTGTGACTATATTTTGGGCATTAAAATGCACCAGCAGGCATTAATGTGACTGCTAGGTTGATTTAGATCTCTTAGCTGGAAAGACTATGCATGCTTTTGTCGCTTTGCTATTCTAACTACTGTCATTTTGTAATGCAGTTGTGATGGTTGGTTGGAAGCAGCCATTGTGTAGCCATTCCCTAGCCTGAAAAAGGGAAGTTATACACTGAAGGTAGCAAAGGATAAAGATGAAGACATGGATTCTCGATGGTTTCTCCTCTAAGCTCTCTTCTTCTGGATGAAAACCCAGATTCTTGAAGACTCCCACTCTGAGCGCTCTCCTTCTGGACTTCTTTTATGAGAAAGAAAAACCCCTTATATTTTGACTAGGATTATGTTCTTCTGAAGTATCTATTATGTGCAGTTAAATTTAATCCTAACTAATAAAATTTCCAGGATGGATTTCAGGAAGAGCATGTGTAAAAACATGTGTAAAACCCAGGAAAAAAGCTTTAAAAGAATTCCATCACTTTGGAAGTTCTTAATGACAGAAACTGTGATGTATAGTAGACACAACACATTTCATTAGAATCATTATTGCCAATATACACGTAATGTTTGGGACCATGTTATCAGATTACCAGCTTCCATTTAATAGCTAATGTTTTTCAGTGATGTAGTACTTCACAACTGTTGTTTTAACGTTTTTATATGTATATAGTGTGCAGTCATCACAACAGGTAAAATTTCTTTCAAATAATGAAATGAAAGTACAGAGTATAAAAAACAGTCGACCCAATGCAATGTAATTATTTAGTCTTAGAGACAGCATATAAACTTAAGTGAGCTCAGAGATAGTTTTGCTAGTATATGAGATGTGATCAAAACATACAGTAGATATTTAAATGTTTAAAAATTATTATAGTAAAAGGTGCACTGCCATCAGTCCCCTCAAAACAGCCCTTCTCACTTGGAGCACATTCACCCATTGCTTTTGCCACTTTTGGGAGCGATTCTGGGAGTCCTCTTTGGTTTGTGTTCAGCTGAGCTGCCTTGAGGTTCTGAATCGATCTAAAGCGTGTGCCTTCTGTGATCATTTCGCTGTGGAGGAAAGTCAGAAGTCACAGGGGCACATGTGCCAGGTGCGGCAAATAAATTGTAGGAGGACGAAGTGTAATGTTGAGATTTGACAAAAATTGCCTTAGTCATTTTGAATCAACTCAAGAAATCAAGGCAGTCATGGAAAAACACTTGTGAAAGTGTTTGGACTTCCCAAACTGCTCTGGAAACTAGCAAGAATGGTAAGAGGCTCTGATCCAGGGGGAGTACTTTTAAGGAGGACTGATGAGGGTGTGTCTTATTGTAATAAAAGTTGTTTTATTTATATTTAAACATTCACCATATGTTTTGATCATACCTTATACAACACTTCGAGTGTACTGGCACGGAGAGGGTCATTGAACATGGCAGTGGGGTGGAAAAGGCGAAATGTGCTTTTAGATAAGTTCACTGTCTCAAGCAACACGAATCTGGAAGGAAACTGCCTGGTACTTGCCAAACTTCCTTACTCATATCGTTCCTGCTTAAGTATTTTATTATAGAAGATATATTTATGCAGTGTGCAAGAGGTACAATAAGTTCAGCCTGAAAAAAAGAACATAAGCGGAAATATGGTAGTCTCACTGAACATTGATTCTACAGTTTATGTTTGCAGCAGTATCTTGCAATGTAGTCATCCAAACCCGAACTTGTTACATAGCCCAGTCTGTCTTCTAATTTCCTCTCCTCATGCTTCTGCCTCCTGCTTCCGTGGTGTTGGGAATGCAGACATACACCACTCTGTCCAGGTTTATTCTATAATTTTAAAACATGAGCAGCCTCCCATATCATCGACTGGTCCCTGCTCCGGGTGATGAGAAGACAAACTGGTGTCCACAACCTCTGGAGATAATATGTTGCAGAATTGTAACATTTGCCACTTTTTGAAAGCTTATGTCTGCATTACCATTTTGATTCTCAGATCTCACTTGTACAGTATGATTAGGAAGATACCGTGGTATAAAACTTTAGAAGGTAAAAAACCAAAACCATAGTGCAAATTCAGAAACATGTCCATTACAGATAATTTGTAAACATAAGAAGCTGAACACAATTTTCAATTAAATTAACTATGCAGTTAATGAAAAACTATGATATACCCACAGCATTGCATTATAAAAATGAATGAATATTTTTATATATTCCATTGAATGATCTCCAAATACAGCATAAGGTAAATAAAGCCATGTACTCCTTAAGTTTGCAGAGTATGCTACCTTTTAATTGAAGAAGTGTTATTAGAGGGGATAAGGAGAGACCAAAAACTATTATTTGCTTATTAAAAATAGAAAGATAGCTATAGGTTTTTTTACAAAAGCTATTCATAGAAGGAGAGAGATAAATAATGATAGACGTTACAGTTGAATATGCTTTGTTTATATGTTTGCCTTTTTAAGCTGTGTACATATTTTATATGACCATAAAATAAAATGATACTTGAAAGTATAATCCCTTATACAAATGAAAGAAAATGGAATACCAGTTGTGTGTCTAGATGCTAGTCTTACCACAATGAATGAATTTGTGTGACTTCCGAACACATCTGTTTGTTCATTCTAAAAGAAAAACAACAAAATCTAGAAAAACTCTTTTCAGTGCTCACACCAGGAAACCAAAACAGGTATTGGTTATTTGAGACTGCTGTGTGTGTATTATAAAATAAAGTAGGTTAGTGTTAGTGGTTACTTGAGACACACAAAAATATGTACATATACATAAATATATAAAATACATATGTATGCACATAAATGCATGAAATGTATTCATATGTTTGTGTATATATGAAACTAGATTAAAAAATTCTATATTCTTGAATTTGAAGTGAAAGAATCAGAATGAAGGCATGATATACTTTTATCTTTAAAGGCCTAGAAATAATAAACAACCTAGAAATAAAACAACACAGTAGCAAGTACTTTTCCATTCATACTGTGGTCTAGAAATACTATTTTTCCACAAAAATGAAACTGCCTTCCTAGCAAGGAGCGTTTGATTCAGAACCTGAGCACAGGAAGTGTAAAAGAGAATTCTGGAATTTCTGTCATTTTGCCTTCAGTGCTGTTAGGGTGGGACTCCCCACATCTTACCATTGTCTCAGAACTGGATAGAAAGCTACCGGATTTAACATTTGCCCTGCTGAGCTGTAGCCTGGCTTTCCCCTGGTTTCTTTCTGTTTGCCTGTTTCTCCCTTTTGGAATGGGAATGTTTATCGTATGCCCTTGTAGGCTGGCAGTGTTTTACTTATTTTTTATTTCTCCATCGACGTACAACTAAGAGTTTGCCTCAAGCTCAAGGGAGACTTGGGCCTTAGACTTTTCAGCAGTGCTGGAACTTTCAAAACTTTATCAACTTTTTGAAATGAACTAAATGCATTTTTCATGAGCAGATGCACATGACAGCTTGGGGCACCAGGGGTGGAACACTACGGCTTAGATCTAGAATGTACCCTCAGATTCTCATGCTTTCTGACATAGGCTGTGGAAGGCGACTAGATAATGCAGGCACTACACCTGACCTTCTGTTGGAAGGTAGGCCCTGGTTAGAGTTGGGTCAGTGGGAGTGTGACTTGGAAGGATGCATCTCTCTCCATGGCGCCCACTTTCAAGTTCTGCTTCCTGGGTTTGGGTCACGAGGTTAAAAAAAGGACATCTTACAGTATGTTCCCTCCCCGTGAGCTACAATCCTCCCCACACAAATATCTCCAAACTCTTGCATTTAGACTTTCTATGCACAGCAGCTCTTTTAGTCATCGTAACTGAGTGATCAAATTCAAAAATTGGAATTCCCACTAACACCTTATTTTTGGTTTTATGACTTTGAATCCATTTGGGTTGCCAGAACATAATACCACAGACTGGCTGGCTTGCAGACAACAGAAGTTTATGTTTCACGTATCGAGAGGGTGGGAAGTCCAAGACCAAGACCCTGAGAGATTCAGAGTCTTGTGAGAGCTCACTTCTGGGATGATAGATGCGGTCGTGTCTTTGTATGGGTAGCAAACTTTCTGGGGCCCTCTCCCCGTTTGTGAAGGCTCTATTCTCATTAGTCACCTCTCAAAGGCTCTACTTCCCAGTGTCATCACGTTAAAGACTGAGTTTTAACAGATGATTTCTTTTTCCACAGGAGAACATTCATTTCACTGCAGGTGCAGACTGTCTGTAAGAGCATCATTTCCTGTAAGTGACGTCAGCTCACAAAATGTCAGTTATCTGAAAACTCATAGTTCATTCCTCTTCTTTCCCTGGCTGCTACTCTGATCTTTTGCTGTTTACATCTGAATCTAACCCCTTTGTAAGATCCTTAAAGAAATATGAAAGATTCAAGTTGAGAAGACACAGGAATATAAACTAAACAATACCGAAGTACTATGTGTATCCTAGAAAACTGGAGAAACAGACAAAAAGTAACTCTACTGGCAAGGTTCATAGCAGATACAAACTTGGACCAGGGTATGCAAACACATGCTAAGCTGGTTAGAATACTTACTGATTTTCAGTATCTCTTCTTGGGAATTTTCCTAGGAAAATTCAAACATACACAAATGTTATGGACCTAGTTATAATGTTGGTAATAATAAAGTAGCAAAGACATGGAACTAGCTTTAGTGTGTATCTTTACAGGATCAACAATATATTATGTTGTATGTCATATAAAAAGGGGTGATATGGAAATCTTAAAAAATACCAAAATATTTTATACTAGTATGCACTATTGTTATACTCTCAAGTATATATTTAAAAACATAATCAATGTATACACTCAGATAAATAATAATTATCCCTTGGTTAAGGGAGTGTAAATACATTTTTTGTTATTTCCTGAGATATATATTTTCCCAATCTTCTATAGTGAAATATATGTCTTCAAGGAAGCCAGTTTGGTTTTGATCTTTTTCATTTCTTTAAAGAGCTTCATGATTTTCCTTGGAGGGGGAAAAAAAACAAAAACAAAAACAAAAAACCTCTCTTTTCCTATGAGAAAGGATTTCAAAGTACCTCTAATCGCCCTCTTTATCAAAGTCTTCTAAAATACAGCATTCAAAGAGATCCCCAAGCACAGGAAGGAGATAACAAATCCTTACACAGAGACAGCGGCAAGATTGCAGTGCAGAGCCTTTCAGAAAACATACAGGAGCCCTGAGCCAGTGTCTTCAGGGAGCTGACTGCGGTGCGCAGCACATCGGTTAGAAAGCAGCTCAGCTGAGGGTTCGTGGGCCGCCGGGTCCTGGGGCCGTCATTCCCTCTGGGCACCTGGGTCACTTGGGCCCAAGACCTCCCGCATTCTCATCTGTCCAAAGTCTCCCGCGTTCCTCTTTGTCTGCACTCTGGGCACCGTCGCCCTCTGCTGGTCACGTGGGAGAATGAGGCTTTGGCTCATTCTTGTCCTAAATTTTTCCACTTTATGGATTCTCTTTAAGGAATTTTCTGCTGAGAAAAAGGAGGAGCCAACGGGGGCTGGGGATTTAGCTCAGTGGCATAAGCGCCTGGCTTGCAAGTGTGTGGTCGTGAGTTTGATCCCCGATACCGATAAAAAAGAAAGCAAACAAACAAACAAAAACACAAGAATTAGCCAACGCCCAGACTAGAACATTAGCCCATATGTGATTTCAGTGACCAGCCCTTCCCAGACAAAGCCAAGAAGGGGCTCGCAGGACGCCTTATTGTACGACCCTTCTTACCATTTATTCTTACTTTATTTTCTGAAAGGCAACAGATGTAATGGATTTCTTTTGAATGAGTCAAGGACACAAGGTAAATATGGTTAAGATAGCAGAGTATTATGCTGCATTTGCTTATTAAAGGTTTTCAGATTCGTTTAGATGAAGCCGGTTGTATTTCAGAAAACACTTTTGTGGATGCTCTGGGTGTATACTGAAGTTGCAATCCTGCTCTTTATTGGAGGTAGTGAGGAATTACACTCAGGCAATGTTTCACCGTCAGTTCAGCTGTACCGTGGAGGTGCTCCAGGGACAGGCCTGTGACTGCAGGGGATGAGCACTGTGTTCCCTGCACTCCGCAGAGCCCCAGCCAAGGGAGAGCTTGACCTTGAAAGTCAGGGGGTCTGTGAAGATGTGCTGCGTGATAGAAGACTAGAGGGGAGCACATGGAATGGTTGGTGTTACATATTAAAAACTAGTGGCCAACTTAAAACCAGCCGAACTGAATCAGCATGGTGCAGAATGCAGATGGCCCACCTGAGGAAGGTTGCTAGCATAAAAAGAGACATGGAGAGGAAAAACGGAGTGTTGTGGGTTCTCCTAAGTTTTGTTGTTGTTTGGAGCTGTTGGTTCTCCTGGGGGAGCTTGTTGAGGTAGTTTCCCTGATGTGAATTTAGCCATTATTGTCAAAGGAGCTTGGGCCCTTGTTGCCGAGAGTGGCTGTGGTTCACTTTGGGGAAACTCTGGTCTTTATGTTGAACATCGCTTCCTGGCTTGGGAGGGGAAGATGTGTTTTGTTCAGTCTCCAAGAGAAGCTGTCAAGCTGGCTTCCTGAAATGAACTTGGCTGTTCTCATTGTCAGAGGAACTTGGGAACTCATTGTTCCTGAGGATGGCTGTGATATTTTTCAGGGTGAGCCCTGGTCCTTATTTTGAGCATGCTTCTTGGCTCCAGTGTAGAATCTTCAACCTACTGGCACAGATCCTTCATCCCTCTAGCATAGACTTTCTGGCTTTCACTGCTAACCTTTGGGCCTTCCCAGCACAGATCCAAGAATGAGACTTGCATGAATTATTGCCATGGGCTCTAGGTCTTTGCAATTATTATGTTGAAATAGAACACAGATTGTACATTGATTGTTGTCTTTGGAAGCTTTACCAAGATTGTTCACCATATTGGGAAATGTTTCATCAACAGTAAACCCAGTCCATATTTCAGGCAAGATTATAAAGTACTTGTAAGTGAACTTGCATTAGGACTTATTTCCATCATCACAATAACAATTCCAAACATAGGTTTCAAGTGCAAGGGAGAAAATAAAAAATGCATTGCATAGAGCCCTTCCAAGAAAACAGGATTAAGGTGATATGGTCTAGGGTGATATCTCCTTTTCATAATATTCCTATGAAAAGTCAGGGGACACTGCTCTATAACAATTACTGAACTATATTCCTCATGATGTAAACATTGATGAGTACTTTCTAGGATGTGAATTTCTTCTGGTCACATAGAGGCCCTGAGTGATGACAGATAGAGGCAGCCAAGTGTCTAGTGTAAGACATGGAGCGGGGAATGGTGGGCTCTGTCTGCATCCTGATTTAATATAAGACCCAAGGAGTTCTCCAAGGAGCATAAGACTGAGTCCAGTTCACATCTCTTATTTTTCCACTGTAAATTTGCATTAGCATAATAGTAGCCTATTGCATCCCAGGACCTTTCCCTGAGTGATACAAGAATCAATCTATGTACAGCAAGGGATGTGCAAAAGTAGCAACACAGAATTCCCCTACCTAATGTTCTGTGTGATTTTGTTTTGCATATGTTTACATGAGCATCACAGAGGGTCCAATAGACCCACACCAATCCAGGATTTGTTTGAAAACATTTTCTGTCAGTTTTTCTGGTAGAAGTAGCCCAAGTCAGTACAATGGCACATGAAAAATCAGCTTTATAAGTTTTGGAGGAGGTCAAAGGTGAATCATCAGATCATTCTTACATGGATGATAAAGATGATCTACTATAGTAAAATACATGCGTTCATGACAGAAGAGTGGTGTGAGTGGATGATGATGATGATGATGATGATGATGACTTTGACACTGGCCATGTGAGCCAAAGTTCCTGTGACAATCAGGTGGAGCAAGAATCGTCTGATATGGAAACAGAAAATGTAGATCTCCTTGATTCAGATGACAAGGAAAACAGCAATGTGAATACATATTTGACTAGTCAAAATGTTGCAAAATGCCCACACAACTAAATGGAATGCTCCAACATTAGACCCAGGTCCCTCACTAGGTCTGCTATACTTAGCAAAGATTTCTCATGTTGATCCCAGGGTTGTAAAAGAATCATTGAAAAATGATGGGTCAAAATATGACATAAAAATTTATGCACTTATAGATGAGAACACTTATACTTTTCAATTTAGACACTTATCCTGGAATTTAGCCATCAGGTTCTTATTCATATAGTAATAAACATTATTCATACAATAATGTGGTGAACAGACTTTTTGCTCCTGGCTCCCAAACTAATCAATCAGAATTTGACATTCAACAATTGAGTTACCAATTTCTTATTGACGTCACATTTGCTAACAGAACACAAGTTGACCAGCACAGGAACTGTATACAAGAACAAAGTAGAAATTCTAAGTGAAACATTGCAATTTCAAAACAAAAAATTGTATAGTAACATATGGAGATTTAAAAAAAAAATGTAACACTGACCTCATATATATGGCACAGAAAAACGAACTGGTACTGCTGATGTCAATATTTCACCATAATGGAAATGTTTATAAAGAATCATTGACAAAACGGAGCAACGGAAACTTATTACAACAGAAGCAAAGGTGAAATTGATGTTGGTGAGTTATGCAGCAATGTGATGTCACTTGAGACAGAAATGACTGGCCAATGGTTGAGTTATAATTGACCATAAACATGTGTGAAATAGATAGTGTGATAGAAAATAACAAGTACAAGATATCACAGAGGAATTTCTTAGAGAATTGGGATTGGTTCTCATATGACATCATTTACAGCAGAGGAAAGACAAAATGTTTCTGTCCAGGAAACTACACCAAGCAATTATGGAACACATTGGTGAGCTGACAGGTGAACAGGAAGATGTAGCATGAAAGACCTACCATGAAAATGAAAAAAAAATGTCACTTGTGTCCTTAAGAAAGCACAGGCAAACAAAACATATATGCTATCAGTGTTAACAATAGTTTCCTATGGAGCATGCAGTTGTCACGTGTGAAGACTGCCTTGGGTGTGACAGTTGAAGCAAAGCTTATAACTGTGATAGAGTTCCATTGATATTTTCATTCCAGTTCATATAGGAATTTATTTCTGATGTTGTCTTTTAGATTTTGTAAGCAAGTACGCAGCCAACATGAAAATGTTGATGCCTATTCTAAGCACTAATTACATGTTCGATATCTTATTTTATTGGAATCTTATTTCCTTGCTAAGTACATGTTGTCCAGCAGAGCAGGAAGCTCTTGACAAAACAGGAAGAGAAGAGGGGTGACAAAACTGCCACATAGGAAAGGAGAGCTGAGCACGTGTGCTCTCAGTGTGGACAAGATGTGTGCACGGAACATACAGCTGTCATGTGTGAAGACAGCTCTGCATGTGGCAGCTGAAGCAAAGCTTATTTTCATGGCGCAGTTCTGTTAGTGTTTTCATTGTAGTTCATATAGAAATTTATGTCTGATGCTGTCGTTTAGGTTTTGTAAGCAAGTACACAGCTGATGTAAAAATGTCAGTGTTTATTTTCAATGCACAATACCTGTTAAGAAGTTAATATTTTATTTTATTGACATTTTATGTTCCTGTTAACTACTT